CTCCTCACGGACGTCATGTGAACTTTGACCTGAGATTCTTTTTGTGACATGGTCAGACTATTTTTGTATTTTATGAGAATGTTTTTATGTAAATATTTAACTTTTTGTTGTTGTTGTAGACTGGGCCCATCTCACTGTGGGACTGTCATTTTCCAGGCCTGGAAAAGTCATGGAATTTGAGTATTTCTTTCCCACAGCTCCAGTGTTGTGTTAAGTTCTCATGAGTCTGTTCTGATTATTTCTGAACGTTTCGACAATAAAAGCACCGACAGGATTTTGAATGTTCAAAAACTATAATCCCAAACCACAGTGTCGTAGAACTCGAGACTGGTCTTGGTTTCGAGTTCTACGACACTATGATTTGTTTTTTTCATGGTCTTGGTCTCATCTCGGACTCAACCGCGCTTGGATTTGGTCTTGTCTTGGTCTTGAAGGAGTTTGAACTCAGTCTTGAAGGCGTTTGGACTCGGTCTTGAAGGAGTTTGGACTCGGTCTTGAAGGCGTTTGGACTCGGTCTTGAAGGAGTTTGGACTCGGTCTTGAAGGCGTTTGGACTCGGTCTTGAAGGAGTTTGGACTCGGTCTTGAAGGCGTTTGGACTCGGTCTTGTCTCGGACTTGAAGGAGTTTGGACTCGGTCTTGTCTCGGACTTGAAGGAGTTTGGACTCGGTCTTGTCTCGGACTTGAAGGAGTTTGGACTCGGTCTTGTCTCGGACTTGAAGGAGTTTGGACTCGGTCTTGTCTCGGTCTTGAAGGCGTTTGGACTCGGTCTTGTCTCGGACTTGAAGGAGTTTGAACTCAGTCTTGAAGGCATTTGGACTCGGTCTTGAAGGCGTTTGGACTTGGTCTTGTCTCGGTCTTGAAGGGGTTTGAACTCGGTCTTAAAGGTGTTTGGACTCGGTCTTGTCTCGGTCTTGAAGGGGTTTGAACTCAGTCTTGAAGGCGTTTGGACTTGGTCTTGAAGGAGTTTGAACTCGGTCTTGAAGGTGTTTGGACTCGGTCTTGTCTCGGACTCGACCGCGCTTGGACTCGGTCTTGGACTCGGTCTTGGACTCGGTCTTGGACTCGGTCTTGGACTCGGTCTTGTCTTGGACTCGGTCTTGGACTCGGTCTTGGACTCGGTCTTGGACTCGGTCTTGGACTCGGTCTTGTCTCGGACTCGACCGCGCTTGGACTCGGTCTTGGACTCGGTCTTGGACTCGGTCTTGGACTCGGTCTTGGACTCGGTCTTGTCTCGGACTCGACCGCGCTTGGACTCGGTCTTGGACTCGGTCTTGGACTTGGTCTTGGACTCGGTCTTGGACTCGGTCTTGGACTTGGTCTTGTCTCGGACTCGACTGCGCTTGGACTCGGTCTTGGACTGGGTCTTGGACTGGGTCTTGGACTGGGTCTTGGACTCGGTCTTGTCTCGGTCTTGGACTCGGTCTTGGACTCGGTCTTGGACTCGGTCTTGGACTGGGTCTTGGACTCGGTCTTGTCTCGGTCTTGGACTGGGTCTTGGACTCGGTCTTGGACTGGGTCTTGGACTGGGTCTTGGACTGGGTCTTGGACTCGGTCTTGTCTCGGTCTTGGACTGGGTCTTGGACTCGGTCTTGGACTCGGTCTTGGACTGGGTCTTGGACTCGGTCTGGACTGGGTCTTGGACTTGGGTCTTGGACTGGGTCTTGGACTCGGTCTTGTCTCGGTCTTGGACTGGGTCTTGGACTGGGTCTGGACTGGGTCTTGGACTGGGTCTTGGACTCGGTCTTGTCTCGGTCTTGGACTCGGTCTTGGACTCGGTCTTGGACTCGGTCTTGGACTGGGTCTTGGACTTGGTCTTGTCTCGGACTCGAGGTCTGACAGTCGTCGATCATATTTCATTACGGCTGCTGTTGTCGGTGATAAACTTTTCACCTCGACATGTGGCTGAAGTTTGTCTCATGAAACTTCACAAACATCTGTGTTTGATTTTTGGTTTTTAAGCCCCAAAAAACACTTCAGATAAAATATTTTGTCATTTTTACCCACAGGCGTCTGTGTAAACAGACCTTAAATCCGACTATAAAACCAGTAAGAGAATTTAACTCCAGTTAGAAACGTGAAGAAACAGGTTTTAAAATCCTCCCACTTTCTTCAGTTTCTTCACTTTCTTCAGTTTCTTCACTTTCTTCAGTTTCTTCAGTTTCTTCACTTTCTTCAGTTTCTTCAGTTTCTTCAGTTTCTTCAGTTTTGTGTAAAGTACCAGGGGAAGTTCTCTGAAAGAAAAAACTTCTCAAACTGTGGGTGAGGGTTTAAAAAGCAGCACAGAGAGTTTGAGTCCAGAACAGTTTGTTTGGATTATTTTAAGCCTAAATGAAAATGAATCAGATCAAATGGGGATCAATTTATAAAAACATTGAGTGTGTTTACATGCACATCAATAACCCAGTTATTCTCCATATCCCGGTTCTGTCAGTGTTCGTGTTACTGTGTTTACATGCGCACTGAGAAACAGAGACACTCATATCCGCGTGTACATGATCAAATGGAGTGTCCCGGTTTCTTGACATAATCTTACAAATGCGCAGGCGCAAAAATTAACTTAAATCAATTTCATAAACCAGGAAAAATACAAACCGTGAGCTCCTTTAGCATAAGAAGCTAAGGAGCTACGAGATCTCCCACAATCCACTGCACAGATTCTTCATTAAAATCTTCTGCATAAATAAACTCAACTTTACAACATATAAACCATAAACACTATAGACACATCAGCCCGTTTGATCAGATCATTCAGCTCTGATCACATTTGTTTACGTTTTACAGAAACGAAACTTAAGACCGTTTGGCTAATTAGCATAAACTGTTAGCGGCGATAAAAACAACTCGCTCCTTGTGTCGCTGATGTGATCAGTTTTTTCTTTTGGACTAAATGACACGACTCTGTGGATTATGTGTGTTATTTCTGTGACAGAAGAGGTGCTGATGATGGTAAGTGTGTTCTGTGTGTGTTGTACAGGAGATAGTTCATGTTTTAGTTTTTCAGCGTCACACGAGTGCAGATTGTTCGTGTGCAGGTTTAGCGCAGCTCTTTATTTTACAGTCATTTCACTCGTTTGGTCACTTTATTTATGTTGGTCAATTTATTTATGTCACTACTGTTGTGGTGAAAGGCTGGAAAGTGTCTTTTGGACACATGTGACTCAACTTTATGTTGCAGTAACCGGGATACTGCGTTTACATGCCACAAGTATCACAGTTACTATCGGAATAAACCAGCTACAGTAACACGGTTTCTAATAACCGGGTTAATGCCATAACCGGGTTACTGAAACCGGTTACTGCGTGCATGTATACGCACTCATTGATATAAATGTGACAAAATACAAATAAATGTAGAAAATGACAAAGATGGTCTCGATTTGGTCTCGATTTGGTCTCGATTTGGTCTCGATTTGATCTCAATGAGCCATGGTCTCGGTCTTGTCTCAGTCTCGACTCTCAGAGGTCTTGGTCTTGGGACCCTGTGGTCTCGGGACCCTGTGGTCTCGGGACCCTGTGGTCTCGGGACCCTGTGGTCTCGGGACCCTGTGGTCTCGGGACCCTGTGGTCTCGGGACCCTGTGGTCTCGGGACCCTGTGGTCTCGGTCTTGTCTCAGTCTCGACTCTCAGAGGTCTTGGTCTTGGTCTCGGGACCCTGTGGTCTCGGGCTGGTCTTGGTCTTGGTCTCGGGACCCTGTGGTCTCGGGCTGGTCTTGGTCTTGGTCTTGGTCTCGATTAGTTTGGTCTCGACTACAACACTACCGAACCATAAGGTGAGTGGAAAAAGTTCACATTTCAGATTTAGAACTAAAAGTCTGATCAGTTCTACACATGTCGGAGCCGTAAAGTCATGGGAAATTAATTTTAGGTCAAACTTTTGGAAATTTTGTCAGTGATAAAGAGCGGAAACTGTGGCCCAAAACAAGAAAAATGATCTGATGAAGACTTTTTGCCGAAACGTAATTTAAATAATAACATTTGGACATCAACTGTGCATTTTATTCACTTTTAAACATGTGAATAGAACAAAAAACTCAACTCCAGGTCGGTTTGTGATGAAGAAATGACATTAAAACAAAAATTTGAGAATTTAAAAAATATTTTCACAAACTCTGGGCTCAGATTTCTCTCAGTAGAAGATCTGTGGAGCTCAGATCGACTTGGACTCATGTTTGTTTGTGTCTCAAACTGTCGCCTCTCTGTGTTTTTGAGGTTTGGTGTTTGCCCGTTTTTTGGTCTGGTGTTTTGACTTTTGCCCTGTTTTTTGTCTGTCAGGCTCTGGACCTGGACCGGACCGTTCTGTCCAAAATAAAGAAGTCTGTGAAGGCCATGAACACGTCCGGACTCAGTGAGTTTACTCCAAAACCCTCCTGATATGAGAGGCCCGTTTAGACCTGGTTTAGTCCTGGTTTAGTTCTGTTTACATCAATTAAAGTCCCTTTTTAGTCCTGTTTTAGTTTTGGCTTAGTCCTGGTTTATGTCCCAGTTTAGTCCTGGTTTAGTCCTGGTTTAGACCTAGTTTAGACCTGGTTTAGTCCTGGTTTAGACCTGGTTTAGACCTGGTTTAGACCTGGTTTAGTCCTGGTTTAGTCCTGGTTTAGTTCCTTTTTAAGTCCTGGTTTAGTCCTGGTTTAGACCTGGTTTAGTCCTGGTTTTAGTCCCGGTTTAGTTCCCGGTTCAGTCTTGGTTTAGTCCTGATTTAGTTCCTGATTTAGTTCCTGGTTTAGTCCTGGTTTCCTCCTGGTTTAGTCCTGTTTAGACCAATTAAAGTCCTGGTTTAGTTCTGGCTCAGTTCCCGGTTAAGTCCTGATTTAGTCCTGGTTTGGCCTTGGTTTAGTCCTAGTTTAGTTCCCATTTTAGTCCTGGTTTAGTCCCGGTTCAGTCCTGGTTTTCTCCTGGTGTAGTCTTGGTCTAGTTGTGTTTTAGTCTGGATTTAGCCCTAGTTTGGTCCTGTTTTAGTCCTGGTTTAGTCCTAGTTTAGTTCCCAGTTTAGTCCTGGTGTAGTCCTGCTTTAGTCTTTGTTTAGTCCCGGTTCAGTCCTGGTTGAGTCCTGGTTTAGTTCTCGGTCTGCTGTAGGACAGTGGTGCAGACCGAGGACTCCCTGAACACATTCCTCTCATTCTGCTCGTGTCCCAGCATGCCGAGCGGCGCCACTGTTAATGAAACAAACGAATTAACCCCACTGGTCTGGACCTGGTTCAGTCCTGGTCCTGGTCTAACACTGGTCCTGGTGTAGTCCTGGTCCTGGTCTAACCCTGGTCCTGGTTTAGTCCTGGTCCTGGTGTAGTCCTGGTCCTAGTTCTGGTCTAACCCTGGTCCTAGTTCAGTCCTGGTCCTGGTGTAGTCCTGGTCCTGGTCTAACCCTGGTCCTGACTCAGTCCTGGTCCTGGTCCTGGTTGAGTCCTGGTCCTGGTCTAACCCTGGTCCTGGTGTAGTCCTGGTCCTGGTGTAGTCCTGGTCCTAGTTCTGGTCTAACCCTGGTCCTGGTTCAGTCCTGGTCCTGGTCTAGTCTTGGTCTAACCCTGGAACTGGTCTTGGTCCTGGTCTAACCCTGGAACTGGCTCAGTCCTGGTCCTTGTCCTGGTCCTGGTCTTGGTCTAACCCTGGTCCTGGTTGAGTCCTGGTCCTGGTCCTGGTTGAGTCCTGGTCCTGGTCCTGGTCTAACCCTGGTCCTGACTCAGTCCTGGTCCTGGTCCTGGTTGAGTCCTGGTCCTGGTCTAACCCTGGTCCTGGCTCAGTCCTGGTCCTGGTCTTGGTCCTGGTCCTGGTCCTGGTCCTGGTCCTGGCTCAGTCCTGGTCCTGGTCCTGGTCCTGGTCCTGGTCCTGGTCTTGGTCCTGGTCCTGGCTCAGTCCTGGTCCTGGCTCAGTCCTGGTCCTGGTCCTGGCTCAGTCCTGGTCCTGGTTGAGTCCTGGTCCTGGTCCTGGCTCAGTCCTGGTCCTGGTTCTGGCTCAGTCCTGGTCCTGGTTGAGTCCTGGTCCTGCTCCTGGCTCAGTCCTGGTCCTGGTCCTGGCTCAGTCCTGGTCCTGGCTCAGTCTTGGTCCTGGCTCAGTCCTGGTCCTGGTCCTGGCTCAGTCCTGGTCCTGGTCCTGGCTCAGTCCTGGTCCTGGTCCTGGCTCAGTCCTGGTCCTGTCTCAGTCCTGGTCCTGGTCCTGGCTCAGTCTTGGTCCTGGCTCAGTCCTGGTCCTGGTCCTGGCTCAGTCCTGGTCCTGGTCCTGGCTCAGTCCTGGTCCTGTCTCAGTCCTGGTCCTGGTCCTGGCTCAGTCTTGGTCCTGGCTCAGTCCTGGTCCTGGCTCAGTCCTGGTCCTGGTCCTGGCTCAGTCCTGGTCCTGTCTCAGTCCTGGTCCTGGTCCTGGCTCAGTCTTGGTCCTGGCTCAGTCCTGGTCCTGTCTCAGTCCTGGTCCTGGTCCTGGCTCAGTCTTGGTCCTGGCTCAGTCCTGGTCCTGGTTGAGTCCTGGTCCTGGTTGAGTCCTGGTCCTGGTCCTGGTCCTGGTCTAACCCTGGTCTTGTCTCAGCTCACGTGGAGAACGAGGAGCAGTTCGTGGCGTCGATGGAGAAGTTTGGGGATCACTGCGTTTGTCGTGAAGACGCTGAGGTCGGGTCTGCGTTCCTCAAGTTCGCCGTCTTCACCAAAGAACTCGCCGCGCTTTTCAAGAACCTGGTACGGACCTGGTCTAGGACCCGAGTAGAGCTGGTTTAGACCTGACTTAGACTTGACTTGGATCTGAACTGGTTTAGACCTGACTTAGACCTGACTTAGACCTGACTTAGACCTGACATAGACCTGACTTAGACCTGACTTAGACTTGACTTGGATCTGAACTGGTTTAGACTTGGTTTAGACCTGACTTAGACCTGACTTAGACCTGATTTAAACCTGACTAAGACCTGACTTAGACCTGACTAAGACCTGACTTAGACCTGACTTAAACCTGACTAAGACCTGACTTAGACCTGACTTAGACCTGACTTAGACCTGACTTAGACCTGACTTAGACCTGACTTAGACCTGACTTAGACTGACTTAGACCTGACTTAGACCTGACTTAGACTTAACTTAGACCTGACTTAGACCTGACATAGACCTGACTTAGACCTGTCTTAGAGCTGACTTAGACTTAACTTAGACCTGACTTAGACCTGACTTAGACTGACTTAGACCTGACTTAGACCTGACTTAGACCTGACTTAGAGCTGACTTAGACCTGACTTAGACCTGACATAGACCTGACATAGACCTGACTTAGACCTGACTTAGACCTGACTTAGACCTGACTTAGACCTGACTTAGACCTGTCTTAGAGCTGACTTAGACTTAACTTAGACCTGACTTAGACCTGACTTAGACCTGACATAGACCTGATTTAGACCTGACTTAGACCTGACATAGACCTGACTTAGACCTGACATAGACCTGACTTAGACCTGACTTAGACCTGACTTAGACCTGACTTAGACCTGACTTAGACCTGACTTAGACCTGACTTAGACCTGACTTAGACCTGACTTAGAGCTGACTTAGAGCTGACTTAGACTTAACTTAGACCTAACTTAGACCTGACATAGACCTGACTTAGACCTGACTTAGACCTGACTTAGACCTGACTTAGAGCTGACTTAGACTTAACTTAGACCTGACTTAGACCTAACTTAGACCTGACATAGACCTGACATAGACCTGACTTAGACCTGACTTAGACCTGACTTAGACCTGACTTAGACCTGACTTAGAGCTGACTTAGACCTAACTTAGACCTAACTTAGACCTGACTTAGACCTGACATAGACCTGACATAGACCTGACTTAGACCTGACTTAGACCTGACTTAGACCTGACTTAGAGCTGACTTAGACTTAACTTAGACCTAACTTAGACCTGACTTAGACCTGACTTAGACCTGACATAGACCTGACTTAGACCTGACTTAGACCTGACTTAGACCTGACTTAGACCTGACTTAGAGCTGACTTAGACTTAACTTAGACCTAACTTAGACCTGACTTAGACCTGACTTAGACCTGACTTAGACCTGACTTAGAGACCTGACTTAGACCTGACATAGACCTGACTTAGACCTGACTTAGACCTGACTTAGACCTGACTTAGACCTGACTTAGACCTGACTTAGAGCTGACTTAGACTTAACTTAGACCTGACTTAGACCTGACTTAGACCTGACTTAGACCTGACTTAGACCTGACTTAGAGCTGACTTAGACTTAACTTAGACCTGACTTAGACCTGACATAGACCTGACTTAGACCTGACTTAGAGCTGACTTAGACTTAACTTAGACCTGCTTTAGACCTGATTTAGACCTGTTTTAGACCTCTTTGTAGACCTTTTGTGTAGACCCGGTTTAGACCTTTCCTTTAGACCTGGTTTAGACTTTTGTGTAGACCTGGTTTAGACCTGCTTTAGACCTTTGCTTTAGCCCTGGTTTAGACCTGGTTTAGACCTTTGCTTTAGATCTTTGGTTTAGACCAAGTTTAGACTTTTGCATTAGACCTGGTTTAGACTTTTGCTTAGACCTGGTTTAGACCTGCTTTAGACCTTTGCTTTAGACCTGGTTTAGACCTGGTTTAGACTTTTGCGTAGACCTGGTTTAGACCTGGTTTAGACCTTTGCTTAGACCTGGTTTAGACCTGGTTTAGACCTGGTTTAGACTTTTGCTTAGACCTGGTTTAGACCTGGTTTAGACCTGGTTTAGACTTTTGCTTAGACCTGGTTTAGACCTGGTTTAGACTTTTGCTTAGACCTGGTTTAGACCTGGTTTAGACTTTTGCTTAGACCTGGTTTAGACCTGGTTTAGACTTTTGCTTAGACCTGGTTTAGACCTGGTTTAGACTTTTGCTTAGACCTGGTTTAGACCTGGTTTAGACCTGGTTTAGACTTTTAGACCTGGTTTAGACCTGGTTTAGACTTGACTTAGACCTTGGTGTTTTATTCTTTCGTTGTGTTACAAATAAATGTTTTACATATATTTATATTAATATCTGTGGTTTTATTTTGACGGGGCCTGGCTTCCTGTCGCAGAAGCAGAGGCCTGTGTGTATATTTCACTGTGGTTTTATTGTGACGGGGCTGTGTTTCCTGTTGTAGACGTGTATATTTCTGTGTGTGGTTTTATTGTGACGGGGCTGTGTTTCCTGTTGTAGACGTGTATATTTCTGTGTGTGGTTTTATTGTGACGGGGCTGTGTTTCCTGTTGCAGATGCAGAACATGAACAACATCATCACGTTTCCTCTGGACAGTTTGCTCAAAGGAGACCTGAAGGGCGTCAAAGGGGTAAAAATAAAATAAAAACAAAAATAAGAAAATGAAAAAACATTATTTGTCTCCAAAACCAAAATGAAAAAAACAGAAAATGATTTGTTTTTTCAGTTTTCGATTTTGCGTTTAAATGAAAAATGGAAAAAAACAATGACCGACTAAACCAGGACTAAACCAGGACTAAACCAGGACTGAACCAGGACTAAACCAGGACTAAACCAGGACTAAACCAGGACTGAACCAGGACTAAACCAGGACTAAACCAGGACTGAACCAAGGACTAAACCAGGACTAAACCGTTTTTATGGTCTGCTCCTGGTCTCAGTCCCAGTCTCAGTTCTGGTCTCAGTCCTGGTCCTGTTTCCCGGTCTCAGTCCTGGTCTGGTTCCAGCCCCAGTCTGGTTCTGGTCTGGTCCTGGACCTGGACCTGTTTTAGTCCTGGTTTAGTCCTGGTTCTGGTCCTGGTCTAGTCCTGGTCAGGCCTTGGTCTGGTCCTGGTCTAGTCTGGTCTGGCCTTGGTCTGGCCTTGGTCTGGTCTTGGTCTGGCCTTGGTCTGGTCTTGGTCTGGTCCTGGTCTGGCCTTGGTCTGGTCTTGGTCTGGTCTTGGTCTGGTCTGGCCTGGTCTGGCCTTGGTCTGGCCTTGGTCTGGCCTGGTCTGGTCCTGGTCTGGTCTGGCTGGTCTTGGTCTGGTCTCCTTGGTCTGGTCTTGGTCTGGCCTTGGTCTGGTCCTGGTCTGGTCTTGGTCTGGCCTTGGTCTGGCCTTGGTCTGGCCTTGGTCTGGCCTTGGTCTGGCCTTGGTCTGGTCTTGGTCTGGTCTTGGTCTGGTCCTGGTCTGGTCTTGGTCTGGTCTTGGTCTGGTCCTGGTCTGGCCTTGGTCTGGTCTTGGTCTGGTCTTGGTCTGGTCTTGGTCTGGTCTGGTCCTGGTCTGGTCCTGGTCTGTAAAAACACGATGTAAACGTGGTCAGTGTGAAACTTTAAACAGCTCGACTTGACGTACCTCGACAAACAGACACTGTGACGCCTCTCCACAGATCTGACCTGTACCTCGGTCTGGTTTTAAATCTCAAACATTTCCATGTCCTGGTGTTTGTTTGTTTTGGCTCCTTCGCTCCTTTTTCCTTATCACAGAGTCCAAAGTCCAGACTCGGACTCTCCACTCAACAACGACAGCAGCAAACTTCTATTATTTAAACCAGACTTTCAAAATAAAACGACAAATAATATCAGAAAAATTACAGTTTTCAGGCAGTTTGAAAAGATGGTCCTTGAATTAAATCAATAAAAATCCACTCAGTATTTTTACACGTGAACGAGAGTTAAACCTAAACTCCTCGTGTTTCCTCCGTTTCTCCTCAGGACCTGAAGAAACCGTTCGATAAAGCCTGGAAGGACTACGAGGCCAAACTGTGAGATCCTCCACATCTGTAGACCTGGTTTAGGCCTGGTTTAGTCTTGGTTTAGTTCTGTTTTAGACCTGGTTTAGTCCTGTTTTAGTTCTGTTTTAGTTCTGTTTTAGACCTGGTTTAGTCCTGGTTTAGTCCTGGTTTAGACCTGGTTTAGTCCTGGTTTATCCTGGTTTAGTCCTGGTTTTAGTTCTGTTTAGACCTGGTTTAGTCTTGTTTTAGACCTGGTTTAGTCCTGGTTTAGTCCTGGTTTAGACCTGGTTTAGTCCTGGTTTAGTCCTGGTTTCCTGGTTTAGTCCTGTTTAGTCCTGGTTTAGTCCTGGTTTAGTCTGGTTTAGTCCTGGTTTAGACCTGGTTTAGTCCTGGTTTAGTCCTGGTTTAGACCTGGTTTAGTTCTGTTTTAGACCTGGTTTAGACCTGGTTTAATCTTGAATTTAGACCTGGTTTAGACCTGATTTAGACCTGATTTAGTCCCATTTTAGTCCTAGTTTAGACCTGGTTTAGACCAGGTTTAGACCTGGATTAGACCAGGTTTAGACCTGGTTTCGACCTGGTTTAGACCAGGTTTAGAGCTGGTTTAGACCTGGTTTAGAGCTGGTTTAGATCTGGTCAAGATTTGGTTTAGTACCAGTTTAGACCTGGTTTAGTCTTGGATTTAGACCTGGTTTAGACTCTGTTTGGACTCTGAATAGACCTGATTTAGTCCTGTTTTAGTCGTGCTTTAGATCGGGTTTAGAACTGGTTTAGACCTGATTTAGTCCCTTTTTAGTCCTAGTTTAGACCTGGTTAAGACCTGGTTTAGTACCGGTTTAGTCCTGGTTTAGTCCTGGTTTAGACCTGATTTAGTCTTGGATTTGGACCTAGTTTAGTCCTGGTTTAGTCCTGGTTTAGACCAGGTTTAGTCCTGGTTTAGTCCTGGTTTAGACCAGGTTTAGTCCTGGTTTAGTCCAGGTTTAGCCCTGGTTTAGTCCTGGTTTAGTCCAGGTTTAGTCCAGGTTTAGTCCAGGTTTAGTCCTGGTTTAGTCCAGGTATGATCCAGGTACCACTTTAAACATACAGTGTAAAGTTTCTCTCGTAGATTCAGTGACAAAAATTAAATTTAGAAAACAAAATAAAAGTAAAACTTTTGTTGATGTTTCAGGTCGAAGTTGGAGAAGGAAAAGAGAGAACACGCCAAACAACACGGAATGATCCGGACCGAGTTCAGCGGAGGAGAGATCGCAGAAGAGATGGAGAAAGAAAGACGAGTGTTCCAGATGCAGATGTGTGAGGTAAAGAGAGAAGAGAGAAAGACGAGTGTTCCAGATGCAGATGTGTGAGGTAAAGAGAGAGAGAGAGAAAGACGAGTGTTCCAGATGCAGATGTGTGAGGTAAAGAGAGAGAAGAGAGAAAGACGAGTGTTCCAGATGCAGATGTGTGAGGTAAAGAGAGAGAGAGAGAAAGACGAGTGTTCCAGATGCAGATGTGTGAGGTAAAGAGAGAGAAGAGAGAAAGACGAGTGTTCCAGATGCAGATGTGTGAGGTAAAGAGAGAGAGAGAGAAAGACGAGTGTTCCAGATGCAGATGTGTGAGGTAAAGAGAGAGAGAGAGAAAGACGAGTGTTCCAGATGCAGATGTGTGAGGTAAAGAGAGAGAAGAGAGAAAGACGAGTGTTCCAGATGCAGATGTGTGAGGTAAAGAGAGAGAAGAGAGAAAGACGAGTGTTCCAGATGCAGATGTGTGAGGTAAGAGAGAGAGAGAGAAAGACGAGTGTTCCAGATGCAGATGTGTGAGGTAAAGAGAGAGAAGAGAGAAAGACGAGTGTTCCAGATGCAGATGTGTGAGGTAAAGAGAGAGAGAGAGAGAAAGACGAGTGTTCCAGATGCAGATGTGTGAGGGTAAGAGAGAGAGAGAGAGAAAGACGAGTGTTCCAGATGCAGATGTGTGAGGTAAAAGAGAGAGAGAGAGAAAGACGAGTGTTCCAGATGCAGATGTGTGAGGTAAAGAGAGAGAGAGAGAAAACGAGTGTTCCAGATGCAGATGTGTGAGGTAAAGAGAGAGAAGAGAGAGAGAAAGACGAGTGTTCCAGATGCAGATGTGTGAGGTAAAGAGAGAGAGAAGAGAGAAAGACGAGTGTTCCAGATGCAGATGTGTGAGGTAAAGAGAGAGAGAGAGAGAAAGACGAGTGTTCCAGATGCAGATGTGTGAGGTAAAGAGAGAGAAGAGAGAAAGACGAGTGTTCCAGATGCAGATGTGTGAGGTAAAGAGAGAGAAGAGAGAGAAAGACGAGTGTTCCAGATGCAGATGTGTGAGGTAAAGAGAGAGAAGAGAGAAAGACGAGTGTTCCAGATGCAGATGTGTGAGGTAAAGAGAGAGAGAGAGAAAGACGAGTGTTCCAGATGCAGATGTGTGAGGTAAAGAGAGAGAAGAGAGAGAAAGACGAGTGTTCCAGATGCAGATGTGTGAGGTAAAGAGAGAGAGAGAGAGAAAGACGAGTGTTCCAGATGCAGATGTGTGAGGTAAAGAGAGAGAGAGAGAAAGACGAGTGTTCCAGATGCAGATGTGTGAGGTAAAGAGAGAGAAGAGAGAAAGACGAGTGTTCCAGATGCAGATGTGTGAGGTAAAGAGAGAGAGAGAGAAAGACGAGTGTTCCAGATGCAGATGTGTGAGGTAAAGAGAGAGAAGAGAGAAAGACGAGTGTTCCAGATGCAGATGTGTGAGGTAAAGAGAGAGAGAGAGAAAGACGAGTGTTCCAGATGCAGATGTGTGAGGTAAAGAGAGAGAGAGAGAAAGACGAGTGTTCCAGATGCAGATGTGTGAGGTAAAGAGAGAGAGAGAGAAAGACGAGTGTTCCAGATGCAGATGTGTGAGGTAAAAAGAGAGAGAGAAAGAGAAAGACGAGTGTTCCAGATGCAGATGTGTGAGGTAAAGAGAGAGAAGAGAGAAAGACGAGTGTTCCAGATGCAGATGTGTGAGGTAAAAGAGAGAGAAGAGAAAGAAAGACGAGTGTTCCAGATGCAGATGTGTGAGGTAAAGAGAGAGAGAGAGAAAGACGAGTGTTCCAGATGCAGATGTGTGAGGTAAAGAGAGAGAAGAGAGAAAGACGAGTGTTCCAGATGCAGATGTGTGAGGTAAAGAGAGAGAAGAGAGAAAGACGAGTGTTCCAGATGCAGATGTGTGAGGTAAAGAGAGAGAAGAGAGAAAGACGAGTGTTCCAGATGCAGATGTGTGAGGTAAAGAGAGAGAAGAGAGAGAAAGACGAGTGTTCCAGATGCAGATGTGTGAGGTAAAGAGAGAGAGAGAGAGAAAGACGAGTGTTCCAGATGCAGATGTGTGAGGTAAAGAGAGAGAAGAGAGAAAGACGAGTGTTCCAGATGCAGATGTGTGAGGTAAAGAGAGAGAGAGAGAGAAAGACGAGTGTTCCAGATGCAGATGTGTGAGGTAAAGAGAGAAGAGAGAGAAGGACGAGTGTTCCAGATGCAGATGTGTGAGGTAAAGAGAGAGAAGAGAGAGAAAGACGAGTGTTCCAGATGCAGATGTGTGAGGTAGAAGAGAGAGAGAGAGAGAAAGACGAGTGTTCCAGATGTGAGAGAGAGAGAGAGAAGAGAGAGAGGAGAGAGAGAGAAGAGAGAAAGAGAGAGAAAGAAGAGAGAGAGAGAGAGAGAAGACAGAAAGAGAACGAGAGAGAGAGAAAGAGAGAGAGAGAGAGAGAAGAGAGAGAAAAAGAAGAGAGAAGAGAGAGAAAGAGAGAGAGAAAAGAGAAGAGAGAGAAAAGAGAAGGTGGAGATATAATAAAATCTTTTTTTTTTCAGTATTTAATCAAAGTGAACGAGATCAAAGTGAAGAAAGGAGTCGACTTTTTACAAAACCTCATCAAATATTTCCACGCACAGTGCAAGTCAGTACTACTACAAATACTACTACAAAGTACTACTACTAGTAGTACTACTACTACTAATATTTCTAATACTTCTTGTTGTGTTTTTGTTTCAGTTTTTTTCAGGACGGACTTAAGGCCGTCGAGAACCTGAAACCTTCAGTGGAGAAACTCGCCACAGACCTGAGCACAGTGAGTCCTGGTCTAGTCCTGGTTTAGTCCTGGTCTAGTCCTGGTCTAGTCCTGGTCTAGTCCTGGTCTAGTCCTGGTCTAGTCCTGGTCTAGTCCTGGTTTAGTCTGGTTTAGTCCTGGTTTAGTCCTGGTTTTAGTCCTGTCTAGTCTGGTCTAAGTCCTGGTCTAGTCCTGGTTTAGTCCTGGTTTATCCTGGTTCTAGTCCTGGTTTAGTCCTGGTTCTAGTCCTGGTCTAGTCCTGGTCTAGTCTAGTCCTGGTCTAGTCCTGGTCCTAGTCCTGGTTAGTCCTGGTTTAGTCCTGGTCTAGTCCTGGTCTAGTCCTGGTCTAGTCCTGGTCTAGTCCTGGTTTAGTCCTGGTCTAGTCCTGGTTTAGTCCTGGTCTAGTCCTGGTCTAGTCTGGTTAGTCCCTGGTTAGTCCTGGTCTAGTCTGTCTATCCTGGTCTAGTCCTGTCTGGTCTAGTCTGGTTTAGTCTGGTCTAGTCCTGGTCTAGTCCGTCGTCTAGTCTGGTGGTCTAGTCTGTTTAGTCCTGGTCTAGTCCTGGTCTAGTCCTGGTCCTGTTAGTCCTGGTCTAGTCCTGGATCTAGTCCTGGTTTAGTCTGGTTTAGTCCTGGTCTAGTCCTGGTCTAAGTCCTGGTCTAGTCTGGTCTAGTCCTGGTCTAGTCCTGGTTTAGTCCTGGTTAGTCCTGGTTTAGTCCTGGTCTAGTCCTGGTCTAGTCCTGGTCTAGTCCTGGTTTAGTCCCTGGTTAGTCCCTGGTTGAGTCCTGGTTGAGTCCTAGTCCTGGTTTTAGTCCTGGTCTAGTCCTGGTCTAGTCCTTTAGTCCTTCGTCTAGTTCTGGTTTAGTCTTGGTCTAGTCCTGGTCTAGTCCTGGTTAGTCCCTAGTCTGGTTTAGTCCTGGTCTAGTCCTGGTCTAGTCCTGGTCTAGTCCTGGTTTAGTCCTGGTTAGTCTAGTCTCTGGTCCTGGTTTAGTCCTGGTCTAGTCCTGGTCTAGTCCTGGTCTAGTCCTGGTCTAGTCTAGTCCTGTCTAGTCTGGTCTAGTCCTGGTTTAGTCCTGGTTTTAGTCCTGGTCTAGTCCTGGTCTAGTCCTGGTCTAATCCTGGTTATCTGTCCGTCCTGGTCTAGTCCTGGTTTTAGTCTGGTCTAGTCTGGTCTCTTAGTCTGGTCTAGTCCTGGTCTAGTCCTGTCTAGTCCTGGTTTAGTCCTGGTTTAGTCCTGGTCTAGTCCTGGTCTAGTCCTGGTTTAGTCCTGGTCTAGTCCTGGTTTAGTCCTGGTTCAGTCCTGGTCTAGTCCTGGTCTAGTCCTGGTCCTGTTCTAGTCCTGGTCTAGTCCTGGTCTAGTCCTGGTCTAGTCCTGGTCTAGTCCTGGTTTAGTCCTGGTCTAGTCCTGGTCTAGTCCTGGTTTAGTCCTGGTCTAGTCCTGGTCTAGTCCTGGTTAGTCCTGGTCTAGTCCTGTCTAGTCCTGGTCTAGTCCTGTTTAGTCCTGGTCTAGTCCTGTCTAGTCCTGGTTTAGTCCTGGTTTAGTCCTGGTCTAGTCTGGTCTAGTCCTGGTTTAGTCCTGGTCTAGTCCTGGTCTAGTCCTGGTCTAGTTCTGTTTAGTCCTGGTCTAGTCCTGGTCTAGTCCTGGTTTAGTCCTGGTCTAGTCCTGGTCTAGTCCTGGTCTAGTTAGTCTGGTCTAGTCCTGGTCTAGTCCTGGTCTAGTTCTGGTTTGTTTCAGATTAAACAGGGGCAGGACGCTGAGAGGAAACAGTTGGTGCAGCTCAGAGACGTCCTGAAGACCTCACTACAGACGGAGAGTAAAGAGGTAAACCTGATGCCCTCCCGCTGTGCCCCTGATGCCCTCCCGCTGTGCCCCTGATGCCCTCCCGCTGTGCCCCTGATGCCCTCCCACTATTTCGTTCGTTCATTTGTTTTTCAAAATAAAACCAAAAAGAAGAAAACGGAAAAAATTTTTAAATTATTTTCTTCATTATTTGTCTCCAAAACCAAAACTGCGATGTCGGACTTTTGCACCACATACGGACCAGACCAGGACTAAACCAGGACTAAACCAGGACTAATCTGGTTTGAGTCCTGGTTTCAGTCCTGATCACATGATCAGGTGCACCTTCGGACCCATCCCAAGAGTCCTGTTTTAGTCCTGGTTTAGACCCAGTTTAGACCTGTTTTAGATCTAGTTTAGACCTGTTTTAGACTGGTTTAGACCTGGTTTAGTCCCGGTTTAGACCTGTTTTAGTCCTGATGTACATCTAGTTTAGACTTGGTTCAGTTTAGTCCTGTTTTAGACCTAGTTTAGACCTGATTTACTCCTGGATTACATCTGGTTTACATCTAGTTTAGACCTGGTTTATTTTAGTCCTGGTTTAGATCGTTTTAGACCTGGTTTAGTTTAGACCTTTAGACCTTTAGTCCTGACCTGGTTTAGTCCTGGTTCAGTCCTGGTTTAGTCCTGGTTCAGTTCGGCATCGCAGTTTAAGTCACGGAAAAAGGGAAACGTCCATTATCCATTTTTTTCATTTTGGTTTTGGAGACAAATAATGTAGAAAATAGTTGGGTTTTTTTTTTCATGTTCTTATTTTGGTCACCCCCGTGTGTGTCAGGTCCCCTCCCTCCCCGTGTGTGTCAGGCCCTCCCGTGTGTGTCAGGTGCCCTCCCCGTGTGTGTCAGGTGTCCCCTGCCCTGCCCTCCCGTGTGTGTCAGGTGCCCTCCCCCTCCCCGTGTGTGTCAGGTGCCCTCCCCCTGTGTGTCAGGTGCCCCGTGTGTGTCAGGTGCCCTCCCCGTGTGTGTCAGGTGCCCTCCCCGTGTCAGGTGCCCTCCCTCCCCGTGTGTGTCAGGTCCCTCCCTCCCCGTGTGTGTCAGTGTCAGGTGCCCTCCCTCCCCGTGTGTGTCAGGTGCCCTCCCCGTTTGTGTGTCAGGTCCCTCCCCGTGTGTGTCATGTGTGTCAGGTGCCTCCCCAGGTCCCTCCCCGTGTGTGTCAGGTGCCCTCCCCGTGTGTGTCAGGTCCCCTCCCCGTGTGTGTCAGGTGCCCTCCCCGTGTGTGTCAGGTGCCCTCCTCCCCCCGTGTGTGTGTCAGGTGCCCTCCCCGTGTGTGTCATGTCAGGTGCCCTCCCGTGTGTGTCAGGTGTGGTGCCCTCCCTGTGTGTCAGGTGCCCTCCCTCCCCGTGTGTGTGTCGTGTGTCAGGTGCCCGTGTGTGTCAGGTGCCCTCCCTCCCCGTGTGTGTCAGGTGCCCTCCCCGTGTGTGTCAGGTGCCCTCCCCGTGTGTGTCAGGTGCCCTCCCCGTGTGTGTCAGGTCCCCTCCCTCCCCGTGTGTGTCAGGTGCCCTCCCTCCCTCCCCGTGTGTGTCAGGTGCCCTCCTCCCCGTGTGTGTCAGGTGCCCTCCCTCCCCGTGTGTGTCAGGTGCCCTCCTCCGTGTGTGTCAGGTGCCGTCCCCGTGTGTGTCAGGTCCCCGTGTGTGTCAGGTACCCTCCCCGTGTGTGTCAGGTGCCCTCCCTCCTCGTGTGTGTCAGGTGCCCTCCCGTGTGTGTCAGGTGCCCTCCCCGTGTGTGTCAGGTGCCCCCCTCCCCGTGTGTGTCAGGTGCCTCCCGTGTGTGTCAGGTGCCCAGGTCCCTCCCCGTGTGTGTCAGGTGCCCCGGTGTGTCTCCCCGTGTGTGTCAGGTGCCCTCCCTCCCCTGTGTCGTGTGTGTGTCAGGTGCCCTCCCGTGTGTGTCAGGTGCCCTCCCGTGTGTTGTCAGGTGCCCTCCCCCCGTGTGTGTCAGGTGTCCCCTCCCCGTGTGTCAGGTGCCCTGTGTGTGTCAGGTGCCCTCCCGTGTGTGTCAGGTGCCCTCCCCGTGTGTGTCAGGTGCCCTCCCCGTGTGTGTCAGGTGCCCTCCCGTGTGTCAGGTGCCCTCCCCAGGTGCCCTCCCCGTGTGTGTCAGGTGCCCTCCCGTGTGTGTCAGGTGCCCTCCCCGTGTGTGTCAGGTGCCCTCCCGTGTGTGTCAGGTGCCCTCCCTGTGTGTGTCAGGTGTTCAGTGTGTCAGGTCTTGATCAGTGTTCGCTTAGGATTCTCAGAAGCAGAACTCGGGCTACAGTCTTCACCAGCTCCAGGGGAACAAAGCTCACGGCACCGAGCGCTCGGGCGTCTTGTACAAGAGGAGCGAAGGGTGAGACTTTAGTCCTGGTGTAGTCCTGGTTTAGTCCTGGTTTAGTCCTGGTTTAGACTTGGTTTAGTCTTGGGTTTAGTCTCAGTTTAGACCTGGTTTAGTCCTGGTTTAGTCTGGTTTAGTCTGGTTTAGTCGGGTTTAGTCTGGTTTAGTCTCGGTTTAGTCTTGGGTTTAGTCTCAGGTTTAGTCTCGGTTTAGTCTGTTTAGTCCTGGTTTAGTCTTGGGTTTAGTCTCGGTTTAGTCCTGGTTTAGTCCGGTTTTAGTAGGTCCTGGTTTAGTCTGGTTTAGTCCTGGTTTAGTCAGGTTTAGTCCTGGTTTAGTCCTGGTTTAGTCTGGTTTAGTCCTCCTGGTTTAGTCGTCCTGGTTTAGTCCCTGTTAGTCCTGGTTTAGTCCTGGTTTAGTCCTGGTTTAGTCCTGGTTTAGTCCTGACTTGGTCCTGGTTAGTCCTGACTTGGTCCTGGTTTAGTCCTGGTTTAGTCCTGGTTTAGTCCTGACTTGGTCCTGGTTTAGTCCTGGTTAGTCCTGGTTTAGTCCCTAGTCCTGGTTTAGTCCTGGTTTAGTCCTGACTTGGTCCTGGTTTAGTCCTGGTTTAGTCCTGGTTTAGTCCTGGTTTAGTCCTGGTTTAGTCCTGACTTGGTCCTGGTTTAGTCCTGGTTTAGTCCTGGTTTAGTCCTGACTTGGTCCTGTTTAGTCCTGGTTTAGTCCTGGTCCTGGTTTAGTCCTGACTTGGTCCTGGTTTAGTCCTGGTTTAGTCCTGACTTGGTCCTGGTTTAGTCCTGGTTTAGTCCTGGTCTAGTCCTGGTTTAGTCCTAGTCCTGGTCTAGTCCTGGTTAGTCCTGAGTCCTGGTTAGTCCTGGTTTAGTCCTGATTTAGTCCTGGTTAGATTTGGTCCTGGTTTAGTCCTGGTTTAGTCCTGGTTAGTCCTGGTCCTGGTTAGTCCTGGTAGTCCTAGTCCTGGTAGTCCTGGTTTAGTCCTGGTCTAGTCCTGGTTTAGTCCTGGTTTAGTCCTGACTTGGTCCTGGTCTCGTTTCAGTCTGAGGAGAGTTTGGCAGAAGAGGAAATGTTCGGTGAAAAACGGCTTCCTGACGATAAACCACGGAACGGTGAGAACGCCGCGCTCCTATTGGCTCTCTGCCGCTTAAACCCCGCCCACTCGCCCTTATGCCCCGCCTCCTGCACGAATAACCTGCTCCTATTGGCTGTGTGCATGCCAAGCCCCGCCCCCAGCATGTTTATCCACGACAAACACCACCACAGAACACTTCTACGTGCACGTCATGTTTTATTTTCATTTCATTGGTTTATTTTTATTTATTTTGTTTTTTTGTTGTTTTTTTTTCTTTTTATTTCTGAAGTATTTTGAGGAGTCAGGAAGCGACCAATCACAGAGGCAGAGGAGAAAGAGGAGGCGGAGCTTAAGGAGGAGGAGGACGAGGAAAAGGGTGAAGCAAAGTGTGAAAAAAAAACACATTTGGGGGATTTTTTTCACACATTATTGAACTCTAATTTATTTCATTTTTTTTTTTTTTATTTAGATATTTTAGTAATTTTTTATTTATTTATTTTTATTTATTTTTTTATTTTTTTGCATGTGAAATAACCCGTTTTCCCCGTCGTGGTGGTGGACTTTTGCTAACCCAGTGTTTGCAGGTTGTCATGGTTTTAATTAACTTTTCAGCATGTTCTAAAGATTTGTGATGTGGTTTTGGTTTTTGTTTTTTACGTTAAAGGTGCACTATGTAACTTTTCTCGTGAAGAGTCCATCAAATGCCTGAAATGTTCCACAGTGTGACATTAAACAGCTCTACTTTACTTTTTTTTAACTTCCAGGTGGTTTTGTTGCTCATATTTTGACATTCTGACTGTGAGTGGCATCGCTTCTCCACAGATCTGACTTATAACTTTAGTCTCCATAAGGATAGAAATGCCGTACTGTGGAGCTTTTCAGGCAGAGTAATAATATCTTCATAGAGAAAAGCGTCTGACGGACCTTCCACCAGAAAATGTACAAAATACACCTGTAAGTGTGAAAATTATTGCCAAACTAAACGTGATCGTCCAATCAGATTCATTTATTTCAGTGATGTGTGTGAAACGAGGAAGCTCATTGGTCCCCATCATTTACAAATAAAATAACATTTTTCTCTGCTCAGATGAGAGAAATAAACAATAAACAATAAAATGAGAAAACTGTTTATTTCAGTGTCAAACAAAACAGATTTTGACCCTTATTTCAATTTTGATATTTTGTTCTCTCTTCACGTGTGTCCCGCGTCCGCGCACACGTGTGTCCCGCGTCCGCGCACACGTGTGTCCCATGCGTAGGAGCATATGGACTGTAAAAGTGACAGGTGAATAGTCACTTTTTCACCTGGATCACACACACAGGTGTTTGTTTAAACTGTATCAGACACACACTGGTGTTCTTCTGACTCAGGTGTGAAAGGCTCGTGCTGAAACTTTGATCTGAACTGTTTCTTTAGACGTTCTTGGAGTCAGAGCTAAAATAATCTTGACAGTAAGTGTGAAGAATCCCTCGGTCGTCCAGGTAGAATCCATGGAGAGGAGAAAATTCAGTTTGTCGACTGGACAAAAGTTTGTTAGTGGTTGAAGATGTTTTGCAGCTCATCCAAACTGCTTCTTCAGTTCTGGTCAGAATGTTTGACAGTGAGTCTGGTCCTGACCAGGTTTGGTTCTGGGTTCTTTTTACTCCAGCAGCTCAGGTCACCTCTGGTCACTCTGGTGGAACAGAGGCTTTGATGAGCCTGGACTGGCCAAATACGTCAGGCTTTTACTTTAGCTCGCTTCATGGAAAAACCCCTGGAGATTTTATTTCACTATTTTCTCCATAAATAAATTCCTGTTCCTGATGTTGAATTCTGCTCCAAACTCCCTCCAACAACTGCAGATCTCAATGAGCTTCATGTGACTGTGGTGATGTCACACATAAAGTCTGTGGTGAAGAGTGTGGTGAAGAGTGTGATGAAGAGTGTGGTGAAGAGTGATGAAGAGTGTGGTGAAGAGTGTGGTGAAGAGTGTGGTGAAGAGTGTGGTGAAGAGTGTGTGAAGAGTGTGGTGAAGAGTGGTGAAGAGTGTGATGAAGAGTGTGGAAGAGTGTGGTGAAGAGTGTGAAGAGCGTGATGAAGAGCGTGATGAAGAGTGTGGTGAAGAGTGTGGTGAAGAGTGATGAAGAGCGTGATGAAGAGCGTGGTGAAGAGTGTGGTGTGTGATGAAGAGTGTGGTGAAGAGTGTGGTGAAGAGTGTGGTGAAGAGAGTGATGAAGAGTGTGATGAAGAGTGTGGTGAAGAGTGTGGTGAGAGTGGTGAAGAGTGTGGTGAAGAGTGTGGTGAAGAGTGTGGTGAAGAGTGTGTTGAAGAGTGTGGTGAAGAGTGTGGTGAAGAGTGTGGTGAAGAGAGTGGTGAAGAGTGTGATGAAGAGTGTGGTGAAGAGTGTGGTGAAGAGTGTGTGAAGAGTGTGTGAAGAGTGTGGTGGAGAGTGTGTGAAGAGTGTGTGAAGAGTGTGTGAAGAGTGTGTGAAAGAGTGTGGTGAAGAGTGTGATGAAGAGTGTGGTGAAGAGTGTGGTGAAGAGTGTGGTGAAGAGTGTGGTGAAGAGTGTGAAGAGTTGTGAAGAGTGTGTTGAAGAGTGTGGTGAAGAGTGTGGTGAAGAGAGTGATGAAGAGCGTGATGAAGAGTGGTGATGAAGAGTGTGATGAAGAGTGTGGTGAAAGAGTGTGTTGAAGAGTGTGTTGAAGAGTGTGGTGAAGAGCGTGTTGAAGAGTGTGATGAAGAGTGTGGTGAAGAGTGATGAAGAGGTGATGAAAGAGTGTGAATGAATGAAGAGTGTGATGAAGAGTGTGGTGAAAGAGTGTGGTGAAGAGAGTGTGATGAAGAGTGTGTGAAGAGTGTGGTGAAGAGTGTGTGAAGAGTGTGGTGAAGAGTGTGGTGGAGAGTGAAGAGTGTGGTGAAGAGTGTGGTGAAGAGTGTGGTGAAGAGTGAAGAGTGTGATGAAGAGTGTGGTGAAGAGTGTGATGAAGAGTGTGGTGAAGAGTGTGGTGAAGAGTGTGGTGAAGAGTGTGGTGAAGAGTGTGGTGAAGAGTGTGGTGAAGAGTGTGGTGAAGAGTGTGGTGAAGAGTGTGGTGAAGAGTGTGATGAAGAGTGTGATGAAGAGTGTGGTGAAGAGTGTGTTGAAGAGTGTGGTGAAGAGTGTGATGAAGAGTGTGATGAAGAGTGTGGTGAAGAGTGTGTTGAAGAGTGTGGTGAAGAGTGTGTGAAGATGAAGAGTGAAGAGTGTGGTGAAGAGTGTGGTGAAGAGTGTGGTGAAGAGTGTGGTGAAGAGTGTGGTGAAGAGTGTGATGAAGAGTGTGGTGAAGAGTGTGGTGAAGAGTGTGATGAAGAGTGTGATGAAGAGTGTGGTGAAGAGTGTGGTGAAGAGTGTGGTGAAGAGTGTGTGTTGAAGAGTGTGGTGGAGAGTGTGTGAAGAGTGTGGTGAAGAGTGTGTGGTGAAGAGTGTGGTGAAGAGTGTGGTGAAGAGTGTGTGAAGAGGTGAAGAGTGTGGTGAAGAGTGAAGAGTGGTGAAGAGTGTGTGAAGAGTGTGGTGAAGAGTGTGGTGAAGAGTGTGATGAAGAGTGTGTTGAAGAGTGTGTTGAAGATGTGTGTGGTGAAGAGTGTGGTGAAGAGTGGTGGTGAAGAGTGTGATGAAGAGTGTGGTGATGAAGAGTGTGTGAAGAGTGTGATGAAGAGTGTGGTGAAGAGTGTGGTGAAGAGTGTGGTGAAGAGTGTGATGAAGAGTGTGGTGAAGAGTGTGAGATGAAGAGTGTGGTGTGATGAGAGTGTGATGAAGAGTGTGTGAGGTGGTGAAGAGTGTGAGAGTGTGGTGAAGAGTGTGGTGAAGAGTGTGAAGATGAAGAGTGTGGTGAAGAGTGTGTGGTGAAGAGTGTGTGTGTGAAGAGTGTGATGAAGAGTGTGTGTGTGAAGAGTGTGGTGAAGAGTGTGTGAAGAGTGTGATGAAGAGTGTGGTGAAGAGTGTGGTGAAGAGTGTGTGAAGAGTGTGGTGATGAGTGTGATGAAGAGTGTGGTGAAGAGTGTGATGAAGAGTGTGGTGAAGAGTGTGGTGAAGAGTGTGATGAAGAGTGTGGTGAAGAGTGTGGTGAAGAGTGTGATGAAGAGTGTGTTGAAGAGTGTGGTGGAGAGTGTGATGAAGAGTGTGATGAAGAGTGTGGTGAAGAGTGTGAAGAGTGTGGTGAAGAGTGTGATGAAGAGTGTGGTGAAGAGTGTGGTGAAGAGTGTGGTGAAGAGTGTGGTGAAGAGTGATGAAGAGTGTGATGAAGAGTGTGATGAAGAGTGTGATGTTGTCTGTGGGTCTCATGTTTCGTGTTCCCTGTTTTTTGTCTGTCAGGCGAATCGACCTCCTGCCAAACTGAACCTGCTCACCTGTCAGGTCAAGAGGAACCCCGACGAGAAGAAAAGCTTCGACCTCTTCTCCCGTAAGACCCCACCCTGTAGACCTGGTTTAGTCCTGGTTTAGATCTGGTTTAGACCTGGTTTAGACCTGGTTTAGTCCTGGTTTAGTACTGGCGACCGCATGCTGTATCTAAAAACAAAAACTGTGCAAAAGAAGAAAGAGATCCGCACTGCTTCAAAGAACTGCAGTGCGGATCTCTTTCTTCTTTCCTCTTGTAGACCTGGTTTAGACCTGGTTTAGTCCTGGTTGAGTCCTGGTCCAGTCCTGGTTCAGGTTTACAGCAGTTTTCTTGTTTTTCAGACGACAGAACGTATCACTTCCAGACAGAAGATGAAGCCGAGTGTCAGATGTGAGTTTCAGTTTGTTTTTGTTTTTTCTGGCCTTTCTCCTCAGCTGGATCTTCTTGGTGCCAGAGTTCACACCTGATTTAGTCCTGGTTTAATCCTGGTTCTGACCCGGGTTCTGGTGTCCTCAGTTGGATCTCAATGCTCCTGAACAGTAAGGAGGAGATGTTAGTCCTGGTTTAGTCCTGGTTCAGTCCTGGTTCAGACCTGGTTCAGTCCTGGTTCAGACCTGGTTCAGTCCTGGTTCTGACCCAGTCTCTGGTCTCCTCAGTTGGATCTCGGTTCTTCAGAACAGTAAGGAGGAGATGTTAGTCCTGGTTCTGTCTTGGTTCTGTCTTTAGTCCTGTTTTAGTCCTGGTTCTGTCCTGGTTTAGTCCTGATCCAGTCTGGTTTTGTCCTGGTTCTGACCCGGGTTCTGGTCTCCTCAGTTGGATCTCGGTTCTCCAGAACAGTAAGGAGGAGGCGTTGAACAAAGCGTTTAAAGGAGATCAGGACGAGGAGGAGAACAACATCGTGCAGGAGTTGACCAGAGCCATCGTGGGCGAAGTGCGGAGGATGAGCGGGAACGACCAGTGCTGCGACTGCGGCGCCGCAGGTCAGGACCCGGTTTAGTCTGGGTTTAGTCGGTTTTAGTCTGGGTTTAGACTGGGTTTAGTCTGGGTTTAGACTGGGTTTTAGTCTGGTTTTAGTCTGGTTTTAGTCTGTTTTAGTCCTGGGTTTAGACTGGGTTTTAGTCTGGGTTTTAGTCTGGTTTTAGTCTGGGTTTAGTCTGGGTTTAGACTGGGTTTAGTCTGGTTTTAGGGTTTAGTCTGGGTTTAGACTGGGTTTAGTCTGGGATTAGTCTGGGTTTAGTCTGGGTTTAGACTGGGTTTTAGTCTGGGTTTTAGTCTGGTTTTAGTCAGGGTTTAGTCTAGGTTTTAGTCTGGGTTTAGTCTGGGATTTAGTCTGGTTTAGTCTGGGTTAGTTTAGACTGGGTTTTAGTCTGGTTTTTAGTTCTGGGTTTCTGGTTTAGACTGGTTTTAGTCTGGGTTTAGACTGGTTTTAGTCTGGGTTTTAGTCTGGGTTTAGACTGGGTTTAGTCTGGGATAGTCTGGGTTTTGGGTTTTAGTCTGGGATTTAGTCTGGGTTTAGCTGGGTTTTTAGTCTGGGATTTAGTCTGGGTTTAGTCTGGTTTAGACTGGGTTTAGTCTGGTTTTAGTCTGGTTTTAGTCTGGTTTTAGTCAGGGTTTAGTCTAGGTTTAGTCTGGGTTTAGTCTGGGATTTGTCTCCATTTAGTCTTGGTTTTAGTTTGGGTTTAGTTTCAGTTTTAGTCTGGGTCTGTTTTAGGTTTTAGTCTGGCCTTATTCTGGATTTTTATCTAGGTTTTAGTCTTGGTTTAGTTTGGGTTTAGTCTGGGTTTAGTCTGGGTTTAGTCTGGGATTAGTCTGGGTTTTAGTCTGGGTTTAGTCTGGGTTTTAGTCTGGTTTTAGTCTGGTTTTAGTCAGGGTTTAGTCTAGGTTTTAGTCTAGGTTTAGTTTGGTTTTAGTCTGGGTTTAGTCCAGGTTTAGTCTGGTTTTATTCTGGTTTTAGTCTGGGTTTAGTCTGGGTTTTAGTTTACATTTAGTCTACATTTAGTCTGGGTTTATTCTAGGTATTAGTCTAGGTTTAAGTCTGGTTTAGACTGGGTTTATTCTGGATTTTAATCTAAATTTTAGTCTGGGTTTAGTCTAGTTTTAGTTTGGTTTTAGTCTGGGTTTTAGTCTGGGTTTAGTCTAGGTTTTAGTCTAGGTTTTAGTCTGGGTTTTAGTCTGGGTTTAGTCTAGGTTTTAGTCTAGGTTTTAGTCTGGGTTTAGTCTAGGTTTTAGTCTAGGTTTTAGTCTGGGTTTAGTCTGGGTTTTAGTTTGGGTTTAGTTTGGGTTTAGTCTGGTTTTAGTCCAGGTTTAGTCTGGGATTAGTCTGGGTTTAGACATCGTCCACTCCTGGTCCCGGTCCTGGTCCTGGTCCTGGTCCGGTCCTGGTCCTGGTCCTGGTCCTGGTCCTGGTCCTGGTCCCTGGTCCTGGTCCGGTCCTGGTCCTGGTCCTGGTCCTGGTCCTGGTCCGGTCCTGGTCCCGGTCCTTGTCCGGTCCTGGTCCCGGTCCGGTCCTGGTTCAGACTCTTCTCTCTTCAGGTCCGTCGTGGCTCAGCACAAACCTGGGCGTGTTGATCTGTATCGAGTGTTCTGGGATCCACAGGGAGATGGGAGTTCACTTCTCCAGGATCCAGAGTCTGGACCTGGACGTGCTGGGGACCTCAGAGCTGCTGGTCAGTCTCACCGGCGCCAAAACCTGCACCAAAACCTGCACCAAAACCTGCACCAAAACCTGCACCAAAACCTGCACCAAAACCTCAAAAACCTGCACCAAAACCTGTCCAAAACCTCACCAAAGCCTTTCCAAATCCTGGCCAAAGCCTGCACCAAACCTGCACTAAAACCTGACTACAACTTTACCAAAACCTGCACCAAAGCCTTACCTAAACCTGCACTAAAACCTCACCAAAACCTCACTGAAACCTGGAAACATTTTTTACCAAACCTTGCCAAAACCTCCACCAAAGCCTCCACAAAATCTGACCAAAACCTCACCTCAGCCACACCAAAACCTCATCAAAACCTCACCAAAACCTGCACCAAATCCTGACTAAAACCTCACCAAAACCTCACCAAAACCTGCACCAAAACCTGCATCAAAATCTCAGCAAAACCTCACCAAGACCTCACAGAAACTTTACCAAAATCACACCAAACCTCAATAAAATATGCACCCAAACATCACCAAACCTGCACCAAAACCTGACTAAAACCTCACCAAAACCTGCACCAAAGCCTTACCTAAACCTGCACTAAAACCTCACCAAAACCTCACTGAAACCTGGAAACATTTTTTACCAAACCTTGTTAAAACCTCACCAAAGCCTCTGCAAAATCTGACCAAAACCTCACCAAAACCTCATCAAAACCTCATCAGAATCTGACCTAAACGTGCACCAAAACCTCACCAAAACCTGGCCAAAACTTAAAAAAAAAAACCTCACCAAAAACCTCATTAAAACCGGGCCAAAACCTCACTGAAAACTCAATAAAACCTCACCAAAATCTGACCAAAATTACACCAAAACCTGACCAAAACCTGCATCAAAATCTCATAAAAACCTCACCAAAATTGGACCAAAACCTGGCCAAAACCTCACCAAAACCAAAACCTGCACCAGAACCTTCACTGCTTGCTTTTATTCTTTTATTGGTGAACATGAACATTTTCAGACCAAAATGTCGAGCCTCACAGCAGCAGGTTCAGAGACACGAGCCACGATTTTTCAATAGAAAGTGAAATAGACAGAGCAGGAAGTGTGCCCGTGCTCACTTCCTGTTTGGAACGCAGCGTCTCACGGGTTCATTTATTTATAAAGTCTGTGTTCTGCTCTGACCACCACGTTTTACTTTGAAACTTTCTGACCCTGTAACGCTTTATTTTGAAATTGTACTGTGGTGTTTTATTTTGAAATGGTGTTGTGTTGTGTTGCAGTTGGCCAAAAACGTGGGGAATTCGAGTTTTAACGAGATCCTGGAGGCGGATCTGGAGGGACAGGACGGGTCCAAACCGCACAGCTCCAGCGACATGTGAGTCTCACTCTGCCCAAGTTTAAATATATCAGACTGAATCGGGCTAAAAACAAGAGCTGCCAGACTCACTGAGAAAAAATACTACTACTGCTACTGTGGGTACTACTACTAATACTACTACCCCCGTGTACTTGTACTTCAGGCAGAGCCGTAAAGACTTCATCACGGCGAAGTACGTGGAGCGGCGGTTCGTGCTGCGCCTGCACCCTGAGCCCAGCAGGAGGCAGCAGCAGCTCTACGACGCCGTCCGGACCCGCGACATCCTCGGACTCATCCAGGTCTACGCCGAGGGAGCCGACCTGCTGGAGTCTATCCCCCAACCCAACGAGCACGTGAGCAAGACCAGGACCTGGACTGGACCTGGACTGGACCTGGACTGGACTGGACTGGACTGGATCTGGACTGGACCTGGACCTAGACTGGACCAGTTCTGACCCAGGTCTGTCTGTACTCAGGAGCCCGGGGAGACGGTTCTTCATCTCGCCGTCCGGATGGTCGACAGAAACTCTCTGCACATCGTGGACTTCCTCGCTCAGAACAGGTAAGACCAGACCTGGTCCAGACCTGGTCCAGACCTGGTCCAGACCTGGTCCAGACCTGGTCCAGACCTGGTCCAGACCTGGGGCCTCTGTGTAGGAGTCGTCTTAAATGAGAGCGTCATCCTTGTTGTGGCGTCCAGAGGCGTCACACAGACTCCAGATTTATAAAAGTCTCTCTCTGTGTCTCCAGCTGCAGTCGAGTTTTTTCATCATCAGAGTTTTGGTCCCAGACACAGACTGAGGTTTATAAAAGTATAAATGTGTCACGACGTGGACTGAACGAAACTCAGCGCTGCACCGGGAAAGTGCAGACTCAGACTCGTGCGCAGACACGTGCGCAGACTCGTGCGCAGACTCGTGCGCAGACTCGTGCGCAGACACGTGCGCAGACACGTGCGCAGACACGTGCGCAGACACGTGCGCAGACACGTGCACAGACTCTGGAGCTCGTTGTTTCAAAAGTTTAATCTCTGTTCATTTCTGCTCGTTTCTGTTTTCAGCACAAACTTGGACAAACAGACGAGTCGAGGTTCGTCTGCGCTGCACTACTGCTGTTTAACCGACAACAGCGAGTGTCTCAAACTCCTGCTGCGAGGACGAGCCTCTGTCGACATACGTGAGTACTACTACTGCAAGTACTGATACTGATACTGCAAGTACTACTAGTACTACTATTACTACTATTAAAACTACTATGACTAGTACTACAATAACTTGCTGGTGTTTTTTCAGTGAACGATGCTGGAGAGACGCCGCTGGACCTCGCACGACGCCTCAGACACACTCAGTGTGAAGAACTGGTAACTCTGCTCTTCCTCCTCATCCTCCTCATCTCTCTCTGCAGTACTGTGACAGTACTGTGACAGTACTTTGACAGTACTTTGACAGTACTGCAGCTGACACAGTACTATTTGACAGTACTTTGACAGTACTTTGACAGTACTTTTTCATAGTACTTTGACAGCACTTGACAGTACTCTGACAGTACTTTACAGTACTTGACAGTACTTTGACAGTATTGATAGTACTTTGTACTAGTACTTTGACAGTACTTTTTCATAGTACTTTGACAGTACTTTACAGTATTTGTAGTACTTGACAGTACTTTACATTTAGTACTTTGACAGTACTTTGACAGTATTTTTTTAGTACTTTGACAGTACTTTGACTTGGACTTTAGTACTTTGACAGTATTTGTTGGTAGTACTTTGACAGTACTTTGACAGTATTTGTTGATAGTACTTTGACAGTATTTGTTGGTAGTACTTGACAGTATTTTATTGTGGTGCAGTTGACGCAGGCGCAGAGCGGGAAGTTTAACGTTCATGTTCATGTGGAGTACGAGTGGAGACTCCAGAACGAAGATCTGGACGAGAGCGAAGACGAGATGGAGGACAAGGTCAGGGGTCACAGGGCTCCTGGGGTCAGAGGTCATAGGGGTCAGAGAAGTGTTGTGTACTTGTACATTTATCAGTCTCTTGTACTTCCTCCACAGCCCATCCCCAACCGCCGAGAGGAACGCCTCCAGGACCCGCCCCCAGAGCGCCCCTGTGACCTCCGACCCTGTGACCTCCGACCCGACCCGCGCTCTGACCCGCGCCCCGACCGTCCCGTGAGCTGCTTCGTGCCCGGCAGCGCCCCCTCTCCGTCGGGGTTGGCGCTGTTGGCTCGAGACGCGGCGTCGCTGGTGAGGGACCGGCAGAGGGCGCCGTGTCCCAGTCTGATGATCAGCAACGAGACGTACGGCACCATGATGGAGCCGGGGGGCGGAGCCATGCCCCCGCTGCCCCCCAGAGCGCCACCCAGAGGTCAGAGCGGGCAGAGTCGGGGTAAAGAACGTTTCAGATTGGTTTGTTAGACTCAGACAAACTTTATTGATCCACAAAGGAATTTATTTGGACACAAGAGTCACACATCACAATAAAATATACTGTAAAATACCAAATAAACACCAGGTCCCCATTAAACACCAGGTCCCCATTAAACACCGAGGTCCCCTTTAAACACCGAGTCCCCTTTAAACACCGGGTCCCCTTTAAACACCGGGTTTCAATTAAACACCGAGTCCCCTTTAAACACAGAGTCCCCTTTAAACGGTCCCCTTTAAACACCGGGTCCCCTTTAAACGCCAGGTCCCCTTTAGTCCAAGTGTAGATTTTGATAAATATGTTTTAAAGAATTTGAGGAACAGATTGTATGTTTAGGTGTATCTGTGTGTGTTTGTGTGTGTGTTGTGTGTGTGTGTGTGTATGTGTGTGTGTGTGTGTGTGTGTGTGTGTGTGTGTGTGTGTGTGTGTGTGTGTGTGTGTGTGTGTGTGTGTGTGTGTGTGTGTTGTGTGTGTGTGTGTTGTGTGTGTGTGTGTGTGTGTGTCTGTGTTTGTGTGTGTCTGTGTGTCTGTGTGTTTGTGTGTGTGTGTGTGTTGTGTGTGTGTGTGTGTGTGTGTGTTGTGTGTGTGTTTGTGTGTGTGTGTGTGTGTGTGTTGTGTGTGTGTGTGTGTGTGTGTTGTGTGTGTGTGTGTGTTGTGTGTGTGTTGTGTGTGTGTTGTGTGTGTTTGTTGTGTGTGTGTTTGTGTGTGTGTGTTGTGTGTGTGTTTGTGTGTGTGTGTTGTGTGTGTGTGTGTGTGTGTGTGTTTGTGTGTGTGTGTGTGTGTGTGTGTGTGTGTGTGTGTGTGTGTGTGTGTGTGTGTGTGTGTATCCGTGTGTGTGTTTGTGTGTGATTGTTTATTTGTTTGTGGATTGTCACTCGTGTCCTCGTCTCCGTCTCAGTTCCGGGTCCCAGGGTGTTGCCGATGGAAACGGTGGGACGCCAGCGCTCGTCCTCTGACCCCAGCGAGCCCCTCCCCCCCGACAGGAACAACTCCATGTATGGTGAGCACTTCCTCCTCTCGCCGGAACGACCAGAAACGAAGGCAGCAGCAAAGTTTAGCTCGAGAAACAAAGAGCAGCGCTTCACCCGATGACATCACAGGGTGTAACAGAGTGTTGTGAGTGGTGCTAACCTCTCTCTCTCTCTCTGTCTGTCTGTGTGTCTCTCAGTTCTCCCGGCGGCGCCCCCCCCTCCGCCTCCACCGACCTTTAAATCGGCCAAAAACATGCCCCTCCCGCCGCCGCCGCTGCCGCACTTCAAGGCCCCGCCCCCTCCGGCGTACAAAGCTCCGCCTCTTCCTCCGCCAGTCCCGAGTCACCAGACCAAACCCGGACCCATGTCCCCCAAGTCGCCCAAGTCCCCCAAGTCCCCGACCTCTGCCTCAACGAAGAGAAGGTAAGACCAGGACTGGACTGGAACTGGACCGGGACTGAACCGGGACTGAACCAGGACTGGACTAAACTGGACCGGGACTGAACCAGGACTAAACCAGGACTGGACTGAACTGGACCGGGACTGAACCAGGACTAAACCAGGACTGGGACTGGATCGGGACTGGACCAGGACTGGACAAGGTCTAAGCCAGGACTGGACCAGAACTGAACCAGAACTGAACCAGAACCAGGACTGGACCAGAATCAGAATTGAACCAGGATTGGCCCGGCACTGGACCGGGACTGGACCGGGTCTGGATCAAGACTGGAACAGGACTGGACAAGATCTAAACCAGGACTGGACCAGGATTGAACCAGGTCTAACCTCGTTGTGTCCCTCAGCTCGGGGCCGGACCGACCTCCCGTCAGATCCGGCTCAAAGCGAAGCTCCGCCTCCCTGAAGAGTCCGGCTCCTCCCACTCCCAAACCCCGGACCACCTTCTCCGTGAGTGTCCCGCCGCCGTGGCAGAGTGGTTAGCCCGTCCTCCCGTCGGCCAGGAGGTTGTGGGTTTGACTCTTAGACTGTATAAAAGAAGTGGACTAAAGGAACGTGCGAGGTGTTTAACCCACTGACGCCGGACGCTGCGCAGCGCTGAGTCTCCTGTCGGTGTCTGGATTGTCTGGTGATCAGCGTAACTGGTAAAGGAGGAACCACATCTGGAAGCATTGGGGGGCGTGTCCTCCTCTCGCTTCATTCACTCCCATAGAGACGCAAAACTGCCAGAGCTGCACTGTCGCGTTAAACCTTCTTTATCGTGGCGTTTTATTTCCCCATTGAAAAATAATCCAAATGTCCCAAACATGTTTCCATCAAGACCTGGTTTGAAGTAACAAACGTTGCTCTTTACTGCAGCGCATGAACGCGCTCAAACACTTGATCTGGTCGCTGTTCCAGACGCTCCTATAACAGGTGCCATATCACTATGTCATGTAACAAATAAACATGGTCAAACACAAATGTTGTCCGTGTCTTCACTGTCATTGTCACTGTCAGCATGTTTATTTGTTACACGACATAGCGACATGGCACCTGTTATAGGAGCGTCTGGAACAGGGAACAGATCAAGTGTTTGAGCTGCGTTCATGCGCTGCAGCAGGGGTGTCAAACTCATTTTGGTCCGGGGGTCGTGTCCAACCGACTCTGATCCTAAAGGGGCCAGATCAGAAAACTCATGTCATATAAACCATAAAAATAACAATAAGCTCAAATATTTGTGCAGAGAAACGCAAATCTACTACAGAAATCTTTTTTAATTGATGAACTCTTTCTTTTACAAAATATTATATTATGAACAACCTGAAACTTTAAGAAAAATGCAATTTCAACACAAAGTTTTAACATGAACTTGTCTGTAAACAGGAATAAGTCAATTTTTCTTGTAAAATCCTGCACTCGGCTCCACTTTTCTCATGTTGTACATTTTTCTGATGAGGGTGTCACGGTCAACAGTCAAAACGATCGTCCTTTAAGAGCGTTTGGAAAGAGACAAGTCTTCATTTGTGCTGCTCTGGTGGGAGGGGCCACGTACAGAGACGCTGATATGCTCAGCGACGCAGAAAATTACAAATATTTTAATAGAAAATATAATTAAAATATTTTAGTAGAAAATCAGCCGAGGGCCAGATTAAAGGTCTTGGAGGGCCGGATCTGGCCCCCGGGCCGTATGTTTGACACCTGTGCGCTGCAGTAAAGCACAACGTTTGTTACTTCAAACCAGGTCTTGATGGAAACATGTTTGGGACATTTGGATTATTTTTCAATGGGGAAATAAAACGCCACGATAAAGAAGGTTTAACGCGACAGTGCAGCTCTGGCAGTTTTGCGTCTCTGTGGGAGTGAATGAAGCGAGAGGAGGACACGCCCCCCGATGCTTCCAGATGTGGCTCCTCCTTTACCAGTTACACTGATCGTCAGACAATCCAGACACCGACAGGAGACTCAGCGCTGCGCAGCGTCCGGCGTCAGTGGGTTAAACCATGTGCTCGCCCGTGTAAATAAAATAATCTATAACTTAACTTAAATTAGTTTTGACGGGCAAGAATTTCACATTTGTCAAAAATGGGTGTTTACACGTCTGTACAGATTATTTAACTAAAAAAATCAGTTACCATCAGTTTATTTTATTTCTTTTATTTACCGGAAAAACTGGACATCGGGTCTTTTAAAGTCGATTGACAAACTTAAACTCTGAACGAACCTCGACGAACTGTAAACGAACCTCTATCTCTATATTTTAAAACGAATAAAACAAATTAAAAAGTACAACAACCCGAAAAAAACAAGTTAAAGTTGTTAAATGCACAACAAATCCACAAACAAAATATCAGGGTCCAATAATAGTTTTATTAAATGTTTGATCCACTTGTTAAATCCGTGGATCTGGTTAAGTCCCGGAAAAGTCGTGCTGTGATTGGATAATTTTAAATGTCACTCAAACCCGACGCTTAGCAACGAAACACACCAGCTGTCAATCAAACCTGTTGCTAACGGTAGTGGGAGGGGCCTCGTGGAATAGAGGCGTCTGATTGGTCGGTTATTTATGTTCATATCTTGATTTAGGGACAAAATAGAGAAATGGAAAATTCCGGATTCTGTGTCGCGGGTTCATAAGAACATTTTAAGACGTGGAGCGCGTTGACTCGGTCCGTTCCAGCCGGAGTTTTGAGTTTTGAGTCTCGTGTTTGTTCAGCAGAAGCAGAAACCTCAGCGGGTCGTGGCGATTTACAACTGCTCCGCCGATAATCCGGACGAGCTCACCTTCATCGAGGGAGAGGTGATCGTCGTGGAGGGAGAGGAGGACCCCGAGTGGTGGGTGAGTACCAGGACCAGGACCAGGACCAGGACCAGGACCAGGAGACCAGGACCAGAACCAGGAGCAGGAGAAGACCTGAACTAGACAAGTACTAAAACTTGACTGAACCAGGACTAAACCAGGACTGAACCAGAATTAAAACGAGACTAAAATAGGACTAAAACAGGACTGAACCAGGACTGAACCAGGTCTAAACCAGGTCTAAACCAGGTCTAAACCAGGACTAAAACAGGCCTGAACCAGGACTGAACCAGGACTGAACCAGGTCTAAACCAGGACTAAAACAGAACTGAACCAGGTCTCAACCAGGTCTAAACCAGGACTAAAACAGGCCTGAACCAGGACTGAACCAGGACTAAAACAAGACTAAACCGGGGGATGAGATTCATCACATCGAGGACGTCACGAATTGCGTACCCCCGCTTAAAAAAATTCCCACTACATCACTGACTAGGACTAGACCGGGACTAGACCAGGACTAAACCAGGACTAAACCAGACTGAACCAGGACTTTATTGTTCCTGTTGTATTAAGAGAATTGTTTGTTTTCATTTCAGATCGGACACATCGAGAGCGATCCGAGTCGGAGGGGCGTGTTTCCCGTCACGTTTGTCCATTTTATTACGGAATAAAACACTGGACTAAAGCAGGACTAAACCAGAACTAAACCAGGACTAGACCAGGACTAAACCAGGACTACATTGGGTCTAAACCGGGTTTAATAAATGAACCCAGTGTTGTTTAAATACAGTGTTTACCTCCATCTGGTGGACACAGGCGGTACTGCAGTTCATATGGAAAAATCAAATTTAGTTTAAACGTGGAGGATTTGTTTTAACTTTTTTTTTTTTATATATATATAAAACAACGTTAATTCTGTATTTATGACTAAACCAGGTCTAAACCAGGTCTGAACGGCAGCGCCTTCACGTAAATGAGACTCAGACTTTAGTGATTCTGAGAGATTTTAAATATAATGTTTTGTATTTGTGGATTTTAAGATTATGAATGAATGAATAAGAGTTGTTTGTTTTTTTTTTTTTTGACTGAAGCTGCGTCACAGGTGGAGTCTGGGTCAAAGGTCAAATCTCCGTTAACGTGTTTTATATATTTTTTTATTTCACTGTTGGTTTTGGGGCGTCTCTGTTCTGATCCTCATTAAACTTTTCAAAATAAAACCACGTCTGTGTCTTTTACTTTTGTTTAAGCACATACGTTAGAACAGCACATCCGGGAACTTGGCCGATGAGAGACGTTCCCGCCCTTTTCTGGGGAAAACAAACGACTCCTCTCATGAACTTTAATGTAAATAATAAATGTAAATTACGGTCAATAAACATAATTCATACAGAACTCCAGGTGTAGATAATAGAAAATACACTAAATCAATATGACGACTCAATCCGTGACCATTTTGACGCTCGTTCACCGTGAAAGACACAAAAACTTAATTCAATTAATATGAAACCTGCCCCTTCAGTCTCACGTACAAAGAGCAACAGCTGCACTCAGAGCCACAAGAGTCACACTCGTACAGTGTTGGGGAGTAACAGATTACATGTACCAGAGTTACGTAATGGTCACATTTTTCTACAGCGCTTTTCTACTTTCAAGGCTCAAAGCTCTTTACAACAAGGAACCACTCACACATTCACACACACATTCACACACCAGTGTACGCAGACACTGTGGGCAAGGTGGGTTAAGTGTCTTGCCCAAGGACACAACGACAGCATTCATCTGTGGGAGCTGGAATCACACCAGCTCAACCTGTGGGTCAGTGGATCTGACGCTCAACCTGTGATGTTTATGTCAAGAGCTGGAATCAAACCACCAACCTTCAGATCAGTGGGTGAATGTTCTACCGACTGAGCTACTGCCGCCCAATGTAATCAGAGTACAAATGATGAGTAACTGTATTCAGTTACAGTTACTGTTTCAGTGAGTGGTAATTGGATTACAGTTACTTTGTTGAAATAAATGGATTACACAGAGACACAGCGGGGTTTTCCTGTTTTCACATTTTGGGCTAAATCCCTTTTTTTTTTTTGGTTTGTTTGGTAATTCCACTCATTCCCAGACACTAAACCAGGTCTAAACCTGGTCTAAAACCAGGTCTAAACCAGGTCTAAACCTGGTCTAAAACCAGGTCTAAACCAGGTCTAAACCTGGTCTAAAAACCAGGTCTAAACCAGGTCTAAAACCAGGTCTAAACTAGGTCTAATCCAGGTCTAAAACCAGGTCTAAACTAGGTCTGAACCAGGACTAAAACCAGGTCTAAACCAGGACTAAAATCAGGTCTAAAACCAGGTCTAAAACCAGGTCTAAACTAGGTCTGAACCAGGACTAAACCAGGACTAAAATCAGGTCTAAACCAGGTCTAAACTAGGTCTGAACCAGGACTAAAACCAGGTCTAAACCAGGACTAAAATCAGGTCTAAAACCAGGTCTAAACCAGGAAACCAGGACTAAAACCAGGTCTAAACCAGGTCTAACCAGGTCTAAAAAGGTCTAAACTAGGTCTAAACCAGGTCTAAAACCAGGTC